TTAAGAGGCAGTTGAAAGTTGAATAGCTTAGGTTCTAAGGCTTAAGATGAGGGGGGTCTATTTTTAACTTAAAAACAAAGGCAGTGGGGTGTCTAGATCTGGGATGCAGGTTCCATGGATAGCTTGGCCCCAACACACACACACACACACACACACACTGCAGAAAGAGTTTTACATTTTTTTGACAGTCAGCTTGAAAGCAGGCTTTAGATGAGCCATTAGTGTTACCCTCAGGCCTCACAGTGAGCCTCAGATTCCTTCCACTGCAAAACTTGACATCTCCACTTGGCTGTGTCCTAGCTTTTCTATTCACTCTCACAACCCCTGCCTCTCTAAACATACTCCTTCTGGAGTCCCCCCCATCACGGGAAATTCTACACCCAGTTACCAACTAAACTTGGGAATCATCCCCAATCCTCTCCTTTTCCTCAGCCCCCCTTTCACTCTCTCGGCAAGTCCTAAACATGAAGGTATTTCCAAAATACGCGCCTTGCCTTGCAGTTTTCTGCATCTCCATTGCCACCACCATCATTTATCCGCTCTTCTACTCCCTGCTTCCACTCCGCACAGGGACACGATATTTCATAGCTTTACCAGCTACATTATATCATCGCTCCACTTTAAGTTTTCCAAAGTTATTGCACTGGATCCACCTCTGCACTTTCTATTACAAATCGCCCTAAATATCAAGATGGCCATAGGTCTGAATCAAACCTCGTGTATACATAGAGCATTTGCATCCTTTCACTGATCTCTTTTTACATATCACAGTTTGTTACCAAAAGAAAGTGGGAGTTACGCTATATAATCATAATTTATGATTGTAAATTATGTGTCAAGTATATTACATCATTAATTGTCACCAGTATTAATCATGTTGTGTGTTTTTTTTATTTTCTGTATTTTATAATGCTTGGACATCTTGAAATCTCTCCAAATTCTGGAGAGGCTGTCCTTCTCAGTTCCAGCTAATTTCTAGAGAGAGCAAACAACTTGCCTTGAGCACCCCTTTCATATGCCAACCAACATTCCCAACCACTTCTTTTACCCAGCTGTCACACACCACACCAATATGTCCCCTGCCCTAATTCACCCCAGGGCCAGGTACCAGGTATGGGCTATCTTCACCCATATAGCCCAGAGCATGCCGCACTTATTCCAACATTCCAATCCCAAGCTTTCTCAAACTTGTCTACCTTGCCTCGCCCATTCCTCCCTGTGGAAACCGCAGTAAACTCTCTGAGCCTGGCTTCCTCAGGCTCCTCTGCTTCCTGACTCACCCTGGCACCTCCCCACGTGGCCCTGCATGGCATGAAGTGCCCCTCCCCTAGGGAATGCTAAGTAATAAACTGTTTTTCCAAGACACTGTCTTCGTGTCTGTCACCTTACATCACCATAAAACAAAGTCTTGGGGACATTTCAAGACACCCTACAACCCTATGAGACAGGTGAGATAGATGTTCTAATGTATCCCACACAGTTGAAGGGTTGAGGAGTCAGCCTGAGAGCCAGTCCAACCTCAGAGCACACTCCTAGCCAGCACTTTGATTTGTCCTCACATATGTTTTCATATGTCCAAGAGAGGTTTAAGGGGGTCTCCCTATTGTGGGACTCAGCTGAGCATTTCATAAAAACCTCCTGACATAAACCACCTTGTTCATTGTGAACCTCACCTTTCTTTCTCTTTTTCATTTCAATTTATTTGGCTGTCTGGTCTATAAATAAAGGTACTGGCCCCTCACAATGCCTCACAGAGGAACAAAATCTCCCCACAAAACTGTAGACCCGCATAGATTAACATAAAGATGAGACTTTTGCAGTTATTTCTCTAATTTACTAGCCCTTGAATTCAGCCCATTTATTTGCTCAAAAATGTTGAACTGGGAAACCAACTTACCGGAGAGAAGAGACACAGCCTTGTTCTCTAGAATCCCAAGTACCTATAGTTGAGAGGAGCCAGCCCTGAAAAAAAAGGGGAGGATATGTGGTTCATGCCTTCCTCAAGAGCAGAGTTTATTGCATATTATTAGGTCTATATAATGCCTCCCTTTAACCTGTCTCTGCCTGTCTTTTTTTCCTGCCTTTCTTTCCCCACCTGGAATATCACGCTCTGCCCTTCTTTGCTTTCTTCCCCGATCACTCTTTCCATCTCAAGCAATCCTTTATGAGCCGATCTAGTATTTAGCAGCTGCCACATTTGCATCTCTTGAGAAACACTGGAGCCAACAGGTGCATGAGCAGAGAATGTCATTTGAGCCCCCTACCAGCAAGTGGCAGGAGCTGCGTGACTTGTCTGGCAGCCAGACCCAACACCACTGCTGCCACCACCCCAGTGCTCAGGATACAAACTCTGTAATTGAAGAAACCCATAAGCCCAGCTTCATGTCCCCAGCTTTGCAGGTAAACGCAGTGAAAGAGCCTTTCTAGTCTGGTGATAACTGACAAATGCATCTCAGAACTTAGAGGATTGGGTGTGATGTGTGTACACAAAACCCAGGGCCTCTCAGATCTTAAGGAGAGATGTGTGTCATTAAAAGCCCACATAAGAGCCTGGCTGGGCGATGCTCAGCGGTTGAGCATAGACCTAAGATCCAGGCGATCGGGGTTCGATTCTGGGTCAGGGCACATGCCCGGGTTGTGGGCTTGATCCCCAGTAGGGGGCGTGCAGGAGGCAGCCGATCAATGACTCATCATTGGTGTTTCTCTCTCTCTCTCTCTGAAATCAATAATGATATATTAAAAAAAA